AGGCTGCATTCTCTCCCCTCTGCTCTTCTCCCTGTACACCAACAGCTGCACCTCCAGTCACCAGTCCGTCAAGCTCCTGAAGTTTGCGGATGACACCACCCTCATTGGACTCATCTCTGGTGGGGATGAGTCCGCCTACAGGTGGGAGACTGACCATCTGGTGACCCGGTGCGGTCTGAACAACCTAGAGCTCAACGCTGTAACCCTGTACATATACCGCTAATAGCCCTGTATATATAACACTAACACTCTATACATGGCACTAATAACCCTGCGGAAGAATGCAGCCCCACCAGCCCCCATCACTCTGTGTGACTCCCCCGTCGACGCTGTGGAGTCCTTACGCTTCCTGGGCTCCATCATAATCCAGGACCTCAAGTGGGAGCTGAACATCAGCTCCATCACTAAGAAGGCTCAGCAGAGGATGTACTTCCTGAGGCAGCTGAAGAAATTCAACCTGCCAAAGACAATGATGGTGCACTTCTACACAGCCATCATTCCTCATCCTCTGCTCCTCCATCACGGTCTGGTACGCTGCAGCCACAGCCAAGAATAAGGGTAGACTGCAGCGCATCATTCGCTCTGCTGAGAGGGTGATTGGCTGCAATCTGCCGGCCCTCCAGGACTTGTTCGCTTCAAGGATCCTGAAGCGAGCAAGAAGGATTGTAGCAGACCCCTCTCACCCTGGACAAAAACTGTTTGAGCCCCTTCCATCTGGTAGGAGGCTGCGGTCCATCAGGACCAAGACCTCACGACACATGAACAGTTTCTTCAGTCTTTGGTCGGGTTCATCAACAAAGTCAAGGACCCCCACTGACTCTGTCATCCCCAGGACAACCTCCTGCCGGTCACTCCCCTGCACATCCCTTTTATGTTTCTTATTTAAACAGACTCAATACTTTTAACATTACATTTACTGTACATCTCACTCGTTTATAATCCTGTTATCTGTTTGTTTTGTGCACTTTATTTTATATTTCACTTTACTTTATATTTCACTGCATTTCATATTGTAACCAAGTGGAACTGACGGGGTGAAACTATTGGGTCCGCCGGACCGGTAATGGGGTGCACAGGCCCTGATTAGCTGAAAAGATGCACCTGCTGGCAAATCGCATTCTTTGGCCAAATCCCAATGTCCCCCCTTACGGACTCACGGACTTTGAGGCGCGCTCCCGCGAAGTCCGTGAGGGTTTAGGGATGTCCCACTGTCACATCATCAAGTGTTTGAGTCTCTTGCAGACATTTTGAGCCCTTTATGAACCCTTTCTGTAAGTCAGCATGGTATGCTGACTTAGCCTAAGGGAATTACCCACAAATCATTGCAATATGACGTTAAACACGGGGTAACCAGTGGACGCATGGAGACGTAAAAACAAAAGGTAAACAAAGAGGACGACTCACGTGTGTTCAGCCTGTCATAATACATTTACTCAGAAACATTAAGGGTTAAAGATGGAACAACAAATAAACATGAAATCATAAGATATTTATTTATTTATTCATCAAATATTTAATTTAGTCATTGAAGCTGTTTTGATAAAAACGAGTAAATAGATGATATGAAGTTACCTCTCATCTAGTGAGGAAAGAGCCTGAAGACTTTTAAATCAGGGAGTACAAAGTATACAATAAATACACACAATTATACATCATATTTTTTGCAGTTTTCATGGTAATGTGATATGTTGCAGCAAAGTGCTGTCCCGTTCATATTCACACCATCTCAAGCCCTCACAGTCTCTCACACTCACCCACTCACCAGGTGACGTCAGTAAGTCCTTGAGGGTTCAGGGTTTGAGGGTTTAGGGGGGACATTGGGATTTGGCCTTTGTCTTTCTCTCCGGTGTCACGAGCGGGGGTGCCGAGTCCATCTACTTTCTCTCCCACAACAAGCGGAGACGTAGCGTGAGGCCGCATGATAAGTTGCGTCGGTAGCGCAGTGTCTGGGAGGCATCCGTTACAGAGGGGACAGCGTGTGTTTGGGGGATGGCTGGTTCAGGTATATTTATAGTGGAATGGGTTTTCTTTATGTATGTCGTGTGCTGGGGAAATTGGGTACAATCAAGAAATATGTAATGTTGTATTTGTGTTTTTTTAGAGCTTCCTGAGCAGTGCACCCAATGGTAGCTGGGGGGGAATCTAAGTGGGGGTGGCTGGGTTGCTGAACAGGTGGGTTGAAGTAGAATCTTTTAGGTTTGTTTTCTGTTTATTGGCAGTTATTTGTGATTACTTATGTTTTCGTTTTCATTTCTTTTCTAGTTAGTGGGACGCTGCCTTGGTCTTTTGTTTCTTTTCTTTTGCTTTAAGTTGTTTGTGATGCCTATGTTGGCACCTGGTCTGTGAACTCCTCCTGCCCGCCAAACCAGCTGTCACTGGTTACTCCACATAGTTATATTTGTACAAATAAAAGATTTATATTTTCATAACACTGCTTCCTTTGTGTACGTGCCTTTACGGTGTTTTGAACCGGGTCTCTGTGGCAACGGGTGCTACAATATTTTACTGTAAATTTTAATATGTTTCTACTTTTTGCACTGTGTTGATTGTTGTTGATTGTTTAATGTTATGCACCACCTGTCAATAAACGGTTCTAGTTCTGATTCGGATTATTATAACTCTTCATCACTCAAATGTTTTCTGGAGTTTTCTGGAAAAGAAAATCACAAAAACTACAAAAAGTTTCTCACAGATGTATTTATTGAAATGATTTGAAGGTTTAGTGATGTCTGATTTCTTCTTCTTCACTTCTTTTATCACTAAATCACCTCCAGATGTTTCTTCTTCTTCTACAGTAACAACTTTTCTCTTTCAAAACATTTCAACCAGCTTCTTCCAGCTAGAAGACTATCAGGCCCCGCCTCCAGGAAGTGACGCCACAGACTATAACCCCGCCCCAGGAGAGGGAGTTGTCAAATGGGCGTGTCCTTCGTAGGAGGCAGGGCTTAATGCAGACCCTGCTCTTCAGAGATTAAACTTTAAATTTGAATGTTTAAAATGATAAATTTGATCAAAAAAACAAACTGACTCATGATTGTCCTTCAGGGACACCGTAGAGACACCGTCCCAATGTCCACTCTGTCTTTTGTACACAATCCAGGAGGACACTGAGACCCACAGAGACTGACTGTCTGACTGTCTGTTTGCCCTCTGTCTCCCTCTGGTGATGGAGGTCAGTTCCTGCGGTGTTCGTTGTCTCTTCTTCGTTGCTTCTGTTTCTGTCTCAGAGCTTTTCTTTCTTTCTCGGCTGCAGAGTGAAGATCTTTGATGCGACGCTTCAAAATGCTGCGATCCGAAGAACTGAGGACACCGAGAGCCTGAGGGATGAGGACAGAGGTCTCACTCTGATGTTTATATCAAACACTAAATATGAGAGAGAGGTCTCACACTTTATACCAATATGAATAAATATATAGTGAGATAATGAGTCATAATTGTAGAATAAGTGAAGAAAAATACAGAACAGAAGTTTGACTTTTGATGAGTTCACCCTCCTCTTCCTCACCTTCAGCTTGTTGCCGTCCATCTGCAGCAGCTGTTGTCCGTCTACGTCTCTTGCACTGAATTCTGGGACGTATTGCTCCAGGTGGAGTCCTCTCAGCCAATGAGAGACCTGCTGGGTCGTCCACGACGACACAAGACAGGAAGAGTCCTCAAAGGGCTGAGGAGGAGGAAGAGGAGGAGGAGGACGAGGTGGAGGAGGAAGAGGAGGATAAGGAGGATAAGGAGGAAGAGAAAGAAGAGTTTTCACTCTGATGCACCTCCTGATGTATCTTACAGACCATAATACCCTGTCACCATGGTAACCGTGTGTGTGTGTGTTACCTCATCAGAGGACTGGGACAGCGTGTGGTACGGGTGGGAGGATCTGGAGGAAGAGGAGTCAACAGGAGGAGAGGAGGAGATGTGAGGAAGAGGAGGAGAGAACTCCTCACTGAGAGCCGACTCCTGAAGGACCAAGAAAGGAAGTAGTTATTGATCTCTTCTTCTTCTACTTCCTTTTTGTGTCCAAACTACACAGTCTAATCAGATCTAGTGATTGATAGATTTAACAATATGTGACAGAATATGTGACTTGTAGAAAAAATAAGTGACTTGTAAAAACTAGATATGACTTGTAGAAACAAGATACGACTTGTAGTAACAAGACATAACTTGTACAAACAATATATAACTTGTACAAACAAGATAATAATTTGTAGAAACAAGATACGACTTGTACAATCAAGATTTGACTTGTAGAAACAAGATATAACTTGTTGAAACGAGATGTGACTTGTTGAAACAATATGTGACTTGTAGAAATGATATGTAACTTGTAGAAACAAGATACGACTTGTAGAAACAATATGTATCTTGTAAAAACAAGATACGACTAGTAGTAACAAGATAATACATTGTAACAAGATATACATTGTACAAACAAGATAATAACTTGTAGAAACAATATGTAACTTGTAGAAATGATATGTAACTTGTAGAAACACAATATAATTTGTAGAAACAAGATGTGACTTGTAGAAACAATATGTGACTTGTAGAAACAAGATGTGATTTGTAGTAACAAGATACGACTTGTAGTAACAAGATATAACTTGTTGAAACGATATGTAACTTGTAGAAACAAGATATAACTTGTAGAAACGATATGTAACTTGTAGAAACAAGATATAACTTGTAGAAACGATATGTAACTTGTAGAAACGATATGTAACTTGTAGAAACAAGATGTGACATGTAGAAACAATACCTATCTTGTAGAAGCAAGATATGACTTGTATTAACAATACGTAATTTGTAGAAACCAGATGCGACTTGTACAAACAAGATATAACTTGTACAAACAAGATATAACTTGTAGTAACAAGATATAAATTGTAGTAACAATATGTAACTTGTAGAAACAAGATGTGACTTGTAGTAACAAGATATAAATTGTAGTAACAATATGTAACTTGTAGAAACAAGATGTGATTTGTAGAAACCAGACAATAACTTGTAGAAGGGTCATTGACGAATAAGGCTTCTAAAAAGGTAATTAAAAAAATTATCTTCAAAATGGATGGAATGCATATTTTTGTGTCTGGAAAAATGTGGTGAAACAAGTCTAAGTTGTGAACCAACTTTTCGTAGTATTTTAAATAGTTTTTAACAGTATTTTTTAACTTCACAGGCTAAAAAATGTCAGGTGGCGCAACCACATATTTATAAAAATATATATATTTTCCTAATATTTATTCAAACTGAAATTTCTGACAAGTATCCCTTAGAGTGTCTACTGTGTCTAACACATCGTATTTTGTAGTTGTGTTTTATATATATACACAATAATTTATCATAATTGCGTTCTCTTGGCAGGTATTTAGTATATTTAACTTTTGCTTTTACATTTAAACAGAGAAACATAATAATACAAATATACAAATGAATACATTCAATACAATAGTTCTTCACATCATATCAAGCAAAATAAAATTGACTTTAACCT